CATTATTTTTAGCTCTGTTATCCTATACAAGCAAGCATTGTATTTGAGGTAGGGGTGTTCCTTCTCTTGCTTTTAGAGGACCGCCTACTCTGTAATAGAGAGAGAGAGGTTTCAACCACCTGAAAACTGAATCTCACAAAAAATAAGTTGTCAATTGTAATCAATTGAAGAAGTCCTGAAGCAGGAACTTGTTTGCTCTCAGGTGAGCTTACAGGTTTTGGGGGAGGGTAACTTGACTGTATGACACTTGCTGGATCATGGGAGTAAACTCATGTTCTGATTTGAAGTCAGAGAACTCACTGTGGCTTCCTGCCTCCACGCCCATCTGTTTCCCTGTGTCATTGGGATAACATCCAAATTCCTTGCAAAGGTCTGTGAGGCCCATAAACCTGGCCCCTGCCTGCCTTCCAGGCTCATTGCAGACACTCTCCCCTCACTCTTTAGGGAAGGCCACAGTGACCTTCTGGAAGCTCCTAGGACAAACCTGCTCCTTCCCCACCTCAGGGCCTTTGCACTTGCTGCTGCCTCTGCCTGCAACAACTCTCTCCACTTCCATCCTGTGCCTCTCATTCTACCCCCATACTTCCCTACCTTGTATCCCCATCTCCATCTCCTTTGTCAAGTTAATTCCTTGACAAATCACTGAAGGTACCCTGTCTTCCTAGAGCCTTTCCTGACAAGGTACCTGTCAATGCCCACACACCTGGTCATCTTGACTGCTCCTTCCTAACATTCAGCACGCAATGTGTTCTTCCATACTGGCCTCTGTTTAAGTGGGAGTTTCAGGAGGAGTGTCCAGTACCTAGTGCGGTGCCTAACACATAGGGAATAAATAAGCAAAGAACAAACAAACCAAGGAACCAGATCCAGAAGCCAAAAGCAATCAAGACCAGCCAGCGTCTGGCATCAGAGCACTGTCCATGACAGCAAGCTGCCAGAAGAAGGAGGAGTAAGGGTTTGGAACAAAGTCCAGGTGGCATAGAAAAGTACACCTTTGCAAAGAGCTTTTCCTTTGGACAGAAATGCCCTGCCTCCCCTTTTCTACCTGGAAAACTGCTTCTTACCCCTCCTGCTAAGTAAGCTTCCAGTAATGCCTTGTTTTGAGCCATCCCTAACCCCCTGCCTCAGAGAAAAAGTTATCATAGTACCAGGTTTGCAATTCAGTGCTGGGGTGGGGCGGGGCAGGACATGGAAAGAATTCACCACTCAACTAATAAATATTAGTGAGTGCTACCTATGCGCAGAGCAATGAGCTAGGCATGGAGATACAGTACACAGAAATCGTCTGTGCCACTCAGCTACTGCTCCAGCAAACAACAGCTACCTCCCTTATCCACGGGAGGTGCCAAGACCCCCAGTGGATGTCTGAAACCAAGCATAGTACTGAACCCAATCGCCGACCACATTTCTGTTCACATCTTCCACCCACGTTTTAGAACTTTTCCATCTTAACTAAGCATTTTTCACTGTAGCCATAATTTTTGCAGTTCAAGGTGCAACAGCAAAGCTAGCACAAATTTATTTTTCCTTCTTCACGATTTCTCAGATAAAAAATTTGTTCTTACCACAGATCTTAGCAATCTCAGCATACATTTTTTTTCTTTCTTAACTAAGTTGAGAACCTTCGCCTTTTCACTTAAAAGTAGCACTTGTGGTTTCTCTTCGGCATATTTGAATTGCCAGCATCATTAGTCTTGCAATACGGGGGCATTATTAAGTAAAAGAAGGGTTCCTTGAACACAAGCACTGCCATAATGCCACCTGACAGTCAATTTGATAATCGAGCCAGCTACTAACTGACTAACAGGGCAGGTAGTACACACAGAGGAGTGATTCATGTCCCAGGCAGGAAGCAGCAGGATGGCGTGAGATTTCATCACGCTACCCGGGACGGTGCCTAATTTACAACTGATGAATTGTTTATTTCTGGAATTTTCCATTAAATGTTTTCAGACTGTGGTTGACCTTGGGTAACTGAAACCTCAGAAAGAGAAACCACAGATGGGGGAACTACTGTGATGTTTTTTGGCCAGCTCACGTGTGCCAGCCTCTGAGATGGACACTTTCTATGGGCCCTGAGGAAGAAGCACAGCACAGAGCTAACACTGTGGCTTCTGGGTCAAGTAACTTCCTAATTTTGCGACTTAATGACTTTGGGTCCATCACGAAACCTCAAGGGCCCACATCTGTAAAATGAGGATAATAATTGTACCTACCTCACAGGATTATTGCGAAGATTAAATGAATACAGTGAAGGAATTAGCATGGTGCCTGGAACCTTTCAAGTGCTCAACAGAACGTTAGCAGTTATCTCATTTAATACTCCCAGCAACATAGAGACCAATATGACTATCCCATATAAAGACGGGGGAGCAGCAGACTTGGAGAAATTAAGTGATTCACCTAGTCACACCACTTAGCAGAAGGTTAAATTGCAATTAGAATCTGTCTCACTCGAAAACTAGGTTTCTTTCCAGTCTACCATTTACCCCATTCTTGTCCCCTACTTATCCCTCTATACAGTAGCCATGCACGTTTGTTTACTTATTGCTTTTGGCTGCTTTACAAATACAATAGCAAAGTAGTTGTGATAGAGATGACATGGCCCACAAGACAAAAATACTTGCTATCAGGCCTTTTACAGAAAAAGTTTACCAACCCCTGATCTATACAGCAGCTACCTGCTTATATATCTGTCTCCCTGAGTAGACAGTAAGTTCATTTGAACTGGGGTCTTATTTCTCTTTGAACCTCTAGGAAGAGTAAGCACACTTTTTTGCAAGAGTCTCAGTGTTGTTTAGATGAAACATGAAATGCAATTCCCTCTGAAAATCCTTATGCTCATTTTCTCTGACCCCAAACCCAGACCATAAGAGCCAATGGTCTCTGCCTGTTTCAGGAAGCACACGTATTAGTCAATAAGACTGAATGCTTCGGCCGGGCACAGTGGCTCATGACTGTAATCCCAGCACTTTGAGAGGCTGAGGTGGGTGGATCACGAAGTCAGGAGATCGAGAACGTCCTGGCTAACATGGTGAAATCCCATCTCTACTAAACATTCAAAAAATTAGCCAGGCGTGGTGGTGGGCGCCTGTTGTCCCAGCTACTGGGGAGGCCGAGGCAGGAGAATGGTGTGAACCGGGGAGGCGGAGCTTGCAGTGAGCCAAGATGGCGCCACTGCACTCCATCCTGGGTGAGAGCAAGACTCTGTCTCAAAAAAAAAAAAAAGACTGAATGCTTCTGCCAGTAGTTCGGAGGCCTAGAGCTGCCCCACTGGAGATACCCTTGGTGAAGTTGTTTCTGCTCCACCATAGAACCTTCCCAGGAGTGATGCTTTTGGATATGAACAATATATAAAAATCAATATTATTCCTACACATACCAGAATAACCAACTAGAAAATGTAAATTTAAGGAAATTCCAGTTATAATTTGTAAAGATCCATAATGTATCCAGGATTAGTGCTGTTTAAGAAAAAAAAAGTATGATCTTTACAAAGAAAATTATAAAATTTTAATGATGGACATAAAAATGGCCTAAGTAAATGGAGAGATAGACCATGTTCATAGATAGGAAGATGCAATACTGTAAAGAAGGCAACCCTTTCTCAAGTAGGGAGGCCTTTTGACTCTAGGTCCCCCAAACACTCTCCACCTCTTCTCTAAATAAAAGGTTTTTTAAAAATATAGAGAGAGACAGAGACAATTTGTCTTAACAGAATAATGCCCAAGAATTTTAAAAATATTAATAGCTAGTTTTATGGAGTGCTTACCCAATAAACTAATAATCACAATGGCATTTTGAACTAAGTACTATAATCATTCCCATTCTACAGTAAGGAAACAGGCCCAAAGAAGTTAATCAGCTTACCCAAGGGCACACAGCTAGTCAGTGGAGCGAGGATTTGAATGCAGGCAGTCTGGCTCCAAGCCTGGATTATCAATTACTGCTGTCCACCACTTTCAAGATTTCTGTCACTCACCTGCCTTCTGAGAAACTTTGATGGTGGGCAAAGGGGGTGTGAAGTTGCAGCAAGCTCACTGTGAATTGCTGCACTTCAGCCCCTTCATCTGTGGGCCTCAGGAGAGTGTGTTCAGGGTAAACAGATATATTTTGTGTGTCAAGAGGAGGAGGCTGAGAACGAGGCTGTATGTGACTGATGAAGAATCCTCTTTGTTCTTAAAGGAAGTTTTTGCCCCTGATATGTGGGCCATACCCAGGGTCTTTAGAACCTCAAGGACGCCCTTCCTTCTCTTCCTGGATGCAGGACCCTGGCTCCCTGTAGGTCTGATTTATTTTTAATTCTGCTTCCCTCCTTCTCTCTTTTGGGACCTGTTAGTCTCATTCCTGTGCACTCTGTCCCACATGCACAGATTCAGCTCCTACTTCTTGTAAACCACTCTGAGAGGCAGGTGGGGAGGTGGACTAAGGGAGCGTTCTGTCCACCACTGTTCCATGTACCCTGGACAAGTCCTGGCACTAAATATCAGAGCCCATGGAAGGTGCCTGTGCTCAAATGACATCCCAGCTAGGTAAGGAGTGCAGTTGAGTCTTAATAAGACACATCCTCAGCCCTCAAGGAACACGGTCTAGAAAACTACTTCATTCAAGGCATAAGAATATCAAGTTTAGGGCAGAGGTGCAAAGTGTTTGTGGGGGGGAGGGAGGCATAGTAGTGAGGGGCTTCCCAGGTTCAAATCCCAGGTCCTGTACCCACCAGCTGTATGAACCTGAACAAACTGCCTGCCTGAGGTAGGCAGAATGATGGCTTCCCCAAAGATGTCCATGTCCTAATCCCTGGAACTTGTGAAAATGTTACCTTATATGGTAAGGGGGAATTAGCATTGTGGATGGACTTAAAGTTGTTAATCAACTGACCTTAAGACAGAGAAATTATTCTGAGTTATCTAAAGGGCCCAACGTAATCATGACAGTCCTTAAAAGTGGAAGACGGAGGCAGAAGAGAAAGGCAAAGTGATATGATGTGAGGCTCAACTCACCATTGCTGGCTTTGAGACGGAAGAAGGAGCCAGGAGCTAAGAAAGGCGGGTAGCTGGAAAAGACAAGGAAATAGATTCACCCCAAGAGGAAGAGAGGAAGAGAATGCAGCCCCGCTGACACATTGATTTAACCCAGTGAGACTCCTTTTGGACTTCTAACATGCAGAACGTAAGATAATTAATGTATTGTTTTAACCCACTAAGTAATTACAGTCAAAATAGAAAACTAATACACTGCCTAAACTCTATAAACCCCAGTTTTCTCATCTATAAGTTGGGGATAGTACAGATGCTCCTAGACTTACAATGGGGTTACATCATAATAAACCCACTGGAAGTCAAAGATGCATTTAATACACCTAACCTACCAAACATCACGGCTTAGCCTGTAAATGTGCTCAGAACCCTTACATTAGCCTACAGTTGGGCAAGATCATCTAACACAAAGTCTATTTTATAGTAAGTGTTGAAGAGCTCATGTAATGTATTGAATGCTGTACTAAAAGTGAAAACCAGAATGGTTGTATGGGTCCTTGAAGTATGCTTTTGGCTGAGGGCATATCACTGTCACACCACCAGAAGTCAGGGACCATCTGTACAGAGTTTGACCCAAAATGTTGGTATTATTATTATTGAGAGATTCAGTACCTTCATCCCTAGACGAGCACACCTAATATAGTTTGGCTCTATGTCCCTACCCAAATTGCATGTTGAAATTCAATCCCCAATGTTGGAAGTGGGGCTTGGCGGGAGCTGATTGGATCATGGGGGCAGTTTCTCGTGAATGGTGTAGTACCATCCCCTTGGTACTGTTCTCACAATAGTGAGTGGGTTCTCACAAGATCTGGTTGTTTAAAAGTGTGTGGCGTCTTCCCACTCCCTCTCTTGCTCTTGCTCTGGCCATGTGACTGCTCCCACTTCACCTTTCACCATGTTTGTAAGTTTCCTGAGGCCTCCCCAGAAGCCAAGCAGGTGCCATCATCATGCTTCCTGTACAGCCTGCAGAACTGTGAGCCAATTAAACCTCTGTTCTGTATAAATTACCCAGTCTTAGGTATTTCTTTATAGCAATGCAATAATGAACTAATACACCACCCAACCTCCTTTGGGACAAGCCCTCCTCTGTAGCTCAGGGTGTGTGGGCATCCCTCCTTACCTTTTTTTGAGGATGCCAGATTCTTCTTTCCCTAGAACCATTTGGCCCACCTTCCCTTGCCCTCCAAATTTCTGCTTTTTTTGGCCTCTAATTGTCCAATCTTTGATCCCGAGGTTGTGGGGCAGGTGAGGGCCTCTGGGATACAGGAACTGCAACCCACTTTTCACAAGAAATGTTGCCTTTGCTAAAAGACCAGGGTGTACAACTGGTATTAAGCAATGGCCCTATTTCCAGAGCTGGACTTAGGCAAATAATTTTTATTTATAAAAATATATATCCCTTGTGTAAAATTGCTGGGTGTTTGTATTTTCATTCATTCAAAGAACAGTAAGCTTTCTGATGCTGGATTTACAAAGATAAACAAGGGAGGGAAATCTGTTTCAATATTTATAAAGAAAGAAAGAGGCCGGGCACAGTGGCTCACACCTGTAATCCCAGCACTTTGTGGATCGCCTGAGGTCAGGAGTTCGAGACCAGTCTGGTCACCATGGTGAAACCCCGTCTCTACTAAAAATACAAAAAAAATTAGCTGAGCATAGTGGCGCGTGCCTGTAGTCCCAGTTACTCGGGAGGCTGAGGCAGGAGAATCACTTGAACCTGGGAGGCAGAGGTTGCAGTGAGCCAAGATCATGCCACTGCACTCCAGCCTGGGCGACAGAGTGAGACTCCATCTAAAAAAAGAGAGAGAGAGAGAGAGAAAGGAAGAGACCACTAAAAGTAAATTTAATACCAATGTTTATTAGGGCAGAAAAGAAGAGGAAAAAAAATAGATGACAAAACAACTCAGCAACCCCAAGTGGTATGCTTCACTACTCTGAACAAGGATTCCCCAAATTCCTTAGGGCAGGCAGCCTGCCCCAACTCTGGGTCTGGGAGTTCCAGCTCCATCAGCCCCAGGTAAGATTCTAGTTGTTTCCACTCTTGCAAACTGATGGAAAGACCTTTGGCAGGTGTCTATGCTTTAAGCTATTGGTTTCAGTGACTTATGCAGGTTAGTAAAATGAAGCAATATATATATTTGCCATTTCCAAGGCAATCTTTGATATGCCCACAGTTCACAAGGTCTGAAGACATCCATTTCCGCAATTTAAAAACAAATGTAAAAAGCAGCCTCGTCTTGTTTCAACATTATCCAGGTTGTTGTCTATTAAAATGCTTGCTGAAAAAGAACAAGAAAATAACATTAGGATAATGACAATGATTGTGGTGGTGGTGGTGGTGGTGGTGATGATGCTGGTGGTAATAGTGATGATGGTTATGATGGTGGTGGTAGTGATGATGATGATAGTGGTGGTGGTGGTGATGGTGATGATTATGATGATGGTGGTGGTGATAGTGGTAATGGTAATGATGGGGTTGATGGTGATGATGGTGGCAGTGGTGTCGATGATGGTGGTGGTGGTGATGATGGGGTTGATGGTGATAATGGTGGCGGTGGTGACGATGATGGTGGTGGTGGTGGTGATGATGGTGATGATGGGGGTGATGGTGGTGACGGTGGTGATGGGGGTGATGGTGGTGACGGTGGTGATGGGGGTGATGGTGATGGTGGTGGTGGTGATGGTGATGATGGTGGTGAGAGTGGTGGTGGTGGTCATGGTGGTGGTAATGATGATGGGGACAATGGTGGTGACGGTGGTGGTGGTGGTGGTGATGGTGATGATGGTGGTGATGGTGGTGGTGTTGGTGATGGTGATGATCGTGATGGTGGTGATTGTGGTGGTGGTGATGGTGGTGATGGTGGTGGTGGTGACGGTGATGATGGTGGTGAGATGATGGTGGTGGTGGTGATGATGGGGACGGTGGTGGTGGTGGTGGTGATGATGGAGACGATAGTGGTGGTGGTGGTCATGGTGTTGGTGATGGTCATGGTGATGATGGTGGTGATGGTGGTGATGGTGGTGGTGGTGGTGGTGATGATGGTGATGGTGGTGATTGTGGTGGTGGTGATGGTGATGATGGTAGTGATGGTGGTGGGGGTGATGGTGATGATGGTGGTGTGATGGTGATGATGATGATGGTGGTGATGGTGGTGGTGGTGATGGTGATGATGGTGGTGATGGTGGTGGTGGTGGTGGTGATGGTGATGATAGTGATGATGATGGTGGTGATGGTGGTAGTGATGGTGGTGGTGGTGATGGTGGTGATGGTGGTGGTGGTGGTGATAATGGTGGTGATGGTGGTGGGGGTGATGGTGATGATGGTGGTGATGGTGGTGGTGGTGATGGTGATGATGGTGGTGATGGTCATGATGGTGGTGATGCTGGTGGTGGTGGTGTGATGGTGATGATGGTGATGGTGGTGATGGTGGTGGTGGTGATGGTGATGATGGTGGTGATGGTGGTGGTGGTGGTGATGGTGATAGTGATGATGATGGTGGTGGTGGTGGTGGTGATGGTGGTGATGGTGATGGTGACGGTGGTAGTGATGGTGATGATGGTGGAGGTGGTGATTGTGATGATGGTGATAAAGAACAAGAAGGAGGAGGAGGAGAGGGGAAAAGGAGGAGACTAAGGAAGAGGAAGAGTAGACCAAGGAAGAAGAAACACCATCCAGCTGTCGTTTTCTGAGCACTTCCTATGTGTGCCAGGGCAACACTAACTATTTTCCAGGCATTGACTTTTTAAATCCTAGAACCATAAGGAAGGAACCATTACTATCCTTACATTACAAATGAGGAAACTATTCAATCAGGCATTTTTTTTTCTAAGGTTATTCAGTCAGTGACTGGAGGACTCATTATCTGAAGTCTGTCTGACTCCCAATTCCAAGTTGACACATTTCTCCAGCCACCGCTTCCTTGTATTTACGTAAGTGGGAGCTGCCTGGAGTGAGGCCTCTGCAGAACCCTGTGTTTGCAGGAGCTAGGCACCCAGGCTCACCAGCAGTGCCTGTCCTACCAAGAATCAGAGGCCTCAGTCACCCCTTGGAGGGTACTACTGTGGGGCTGAACCCAGAAACCTCTCCTTTAACTTCAACTGCACAACACTAATAAGTGTTTTAATTTTTAGAGTCACTTACTATGCACCAGGCTCCCTAGACATCATTATTACCCCAACTTACAGAGGCAGAAGCAAAGAGTCAGTGAGGTTAGGTGACTTGCCCAAGGGCACAGAGCTGGAAATCAGAAAGTCAAACTCAGCTCTGGCCAGTTCCAGAGCTTAAGCATCCAATTACTCCACAGTTCTGTTTTCTGGAAGAAGCCAAGTGAGGGCTTCCAGTGCTAAAAGACAAAGGCCCTTGGGGCAGGGGAGGCCAGCACCCTGGGATTTGGGAGCCAAGCCCAGGCACACCAGAACCCTCACCTAGAATAGAGCTCCAGCAGCTGGAAGAATTAGAAGAGGGATGTAGCCCACTCCTACCCCTCAAAAGCAGAACTTCTATTCCACTGCCAACAGGTGATCCTCTCACTATCTGTGAAAGCTTCCTCAGAGTGATTCCATGCCCACACACACACAGGACTGTGCAACACGGTCCACATAAAGCATGCAGATTTATGGTGGTCAGAAGCCTAGCATACCAACCACTGCCTAGCATGAGTTAGTAGCTTAATCATGCTCAGTTAGCTCCTCTTTAAAATGGGGTTAAAGTGCATACCCTGCAATGACACCAGGGTGTTAAAAGGATCATATGAGGCAATTTATGTTATATTATAAAGAGTGATTAATAGGAGTGTACCTGTGTCAATTCACAGTAGCACAAAATAAACAACAAAGGTATAAGATTTCTCTCACCACAAAGATAAACTACCTGACTATATCTTGTCCTGCTTGGTCCATAAAACTTACAGAGGAGAAATGAAATTCACTGGGCTTACCCTCTGAAGGAATCTTTCTACCTTATCTAACAGGATTTGGAAAGGGGGGAAGATGATGAGGACAGACAGGGAGAAGCAAACGGCCTCATCCAGGCACAGAGGTACAGAGCTGGGGGCATGCTGGGTGTGGGGGGAAAGCTGGGCAGTCCCCTGCTGGTAGGCTGAAAACAGAAACCCCGGGAAAAGGGAAAGACAGAGGGTGGGCTGGGCAGATTGGCAGCCTTGAAGGTTGCAGGAAGGCAGTGGGGAACATGAGCGAGATCTGGGAAAGAAGTTGTTGATCCTGATGACAGTAGCGATGATCGTGGCAGATGTCACAGGTTGACTCCACGAATGCTGAGCCCTCCCGAAGAGACCCGAGTCTCAACAAAATACATTTCTCCAGATTTGGGGTCCAGAGAGAGGTTTTCTGCATGGCAAATAGGGTCACATCCCTCCTCATTTGGGATCACTTTGTGACTCAATAAAAGTTAGGTTCCCCTGTGTGTCCCCCAGCGCTCCTCTCAACCTGGCTCCCCATTATGTCTCCTGCCTCACTCTTGCCACCCCCACTCCAACCCCTAAACTGCTAACCAGCTGGTCCCCCTGAGGCATGGTCCAGAAAATCTCCCAGCCCATGCCATGCTATATCCCCCGCCACTCCCTCAGACAGAAGCCTGGGAGAGAGAAGGAGACGTACCGAGGCTGGTCCTAATCCCCTTACACAGGATGAACCCTGTTCCTGTCACAATGGGGTTTGCAGTGAGGGTTCAGCCAGTGCTCCAGGAACTGCTCCTCGGCGCGATGCTCCAGGGCGAGCAGGTGGTGCATGTGTTCCTGTCAAAACAAACCATACTGAAGAAGGCTTCATCCACAGTGACAGCCGAGGGGTCAGCAAGCATGGCGTGGCTCTGGCCCCCTAGACAGGGCAGGATGGGAGGACAGGCAGGAAGGAGAAATCGACAGCCACATCCATGCCTCTCAGGAGGGAAGATCAGTCAGTATGACCCACCCGGTGAGCAAAATAAAGAAGTCTGACAATACTAAGTACTGAGCAGGTGGATCTCCATGAAATCATGGAACAACCACTTCAGAAAACAACTGATTGCCTGTAATCGAGAAATTTCACTCCTACTTCAGTGGACCTCAAACTTTATCAGATACCACAGTCACCCAGAGAGCTTATTACAACACAGATTGCTGGGCCTATCCTATAGTTTCTGACTCAGTGGGTCTTGGGTGGGACTTGAGAAGTTGCATTTCTAACAAGTTCCTAGCTAATAGTTATATTGCTAGTTGCTCTGAGAACAAGAGAAACTCTTAAATCAGGAGAGGTATATAAAAATATTTATAGCAGCAATAAATTTGTCATAGCAAAACACTGGAAACATGCCAAATAGACTCTTACAGGAGAATGAATCAATAAATTATGGTAGGGTTATGCCATGGAATATTACACAGCAGAGAACATAAATTAATTATACTGTAGCTATATACAACAACATAGGTGGGTTTTAGAAATAGCATATTGAGTGAAAAGTCCAAGTAACTACATTTATAGCATGACACTATTTTTATAAAGTTCAAATATGTATAACTAAATCATGTAATATATTACTTATGGCTATATGCATTTCTGATAAAATCATCTTTTTTAAAAGACAAGGGATAAGCAGAAGAAAGCTAGGGTTGCTATGCTAATATCAAACAAAAAGACTTTAAAGTATAAAAAATGTTACTAGAAATAGAGAAGCATTTTGTAAAAATAGTCTGGCAGCTCCTTACAATATTAAACATAGAGTTACCATTTGTACTCCTGGCTAGCAACTGTACTTGTAGGTATATACCCAAGAGAAACAAAAAATGAATGTCCACACAAAAACTTGTACACAGATGTTCACACCAGCATCATTTGTCACAGCCAAAAACCAGAAGCAACCCAAATGTCCACCAACAAATGAATGGATAAATAAAATGTGCTACTTCCATATAATGGAATATTATTTGGCAATTAAAATGAATGAAGCAGTGATCCCTGCTACAATATGGATGAACCTTGAGAACATTATGCTAAGTGACAGAAGCCAGTCACAAAGGACCACACGGTGTACGATTCCACTCTTATGAAAGGTGGCCAGTCCTACACATTAATCTGTCCACAACCGAAAGCAGCTCCTTGCCCTGACTAGTCCTGCCCCTTACTGTGGCCAGCATCTCCATCTACTCAGGAACCCACTCCAGAACATGAACTGTCATTGCCTCCCTCACCCTCAAACTCAACATAGGACTGAGCATTAGAACGTTGAGGCTATCTCCTGAATAGTTCTCAGATGCCCTCCCTCATCTCTGCCACTTCCCTAGGTCAGGGCTTCACCATTGTCCACCAAGGCTGCCGCAGACTCCTGACCCCTCTGTCTGTCTCACCCATCTGTGTTGCATTCCTCCCACCCCATGCCTCCTCCCTGCTCCACTCTGACAGAGTGACCCAAAATGGTCAAAGGTGGCCCACCAGGGCCACCTTCCTCCTCAAAGACGTCACCAGTGCTGTCTGCCTGCAAGGAGTCAGCGCCTGCCTCTACCCATGGGTTTTGTCTGTGGCTCTGAATAATGTACTTGCAAGCCAGCAGATGAGTGCAGCTTTGGGTAGGATTCCCCACCTTCCCCCACTCCTCACAACAGCAGGGAGTGACCCTGCCTTCCCACCTTGGTCTACAATTGTCATTGACAGCCTTTGTTAATCTCTATGCTTCTCAAGAACACAATTTCTCCCTGAAAAGGTTGCCTGAAGAGACTTTAATGAAGAGATCATTCACAGCCATGTGAGTAGGGTTAAGGGAACTATCAAAGAATATTCTAGCACCCAGGGACTAGCAATACGGGGAAGCCATGACCATGCCTAAGTTTGCAGGGCCAAGGGTGGAGAACCCTTAGAGGAGCCAATAGGCCTGGGGCCAGGGGGGTGGGGCTGCTGTGGTCTTGGGGGCACAGCACAGCCTTTGCAAGGCAAGGAGGTAACAGGGAACAAACAGCCCGTCCTCTCCCTCCTCTTCCCCTCAGTCTCCTGCAGGGCCCAATCAGAAGCCAGCCGGCCAGGGAACCAAGGGATTCAGTCTACAGGGGTCAGTCTCCTTTAGCACATAGTGGGGCACAGCAGGGTGGAGGATGGACTGGGGTCAGGGCAGAGAAAACCCACGTCAATGCTAGGATGATGAGGAGTGGCAGGTGTGCTACCACCAGAGAAGGGAGGAGACAGCACAAATAACAGAGGGCCATGATAGGGCCTCTCTGCAACCTGCAGCTCATCAGTCTCTGAATACACCCATCCTTTGAATGAAATTTTTGTCTTTGCATCTCCTCTCTCTCTCAGTTTGCTCATGTTCTGCCCTTTATCAACAGGAATGTCACTTCCAGCCTTTGGGGCTGGCCTTCTCCTCCCAACGTGCCTTGGTCTTCCCCAAAGCCAGTTCAGGCTGTGAATTTTCTGTATATGGGTTACTCACGGCATTATGTGCTACAAGTGATGCATAAAACAGAAAAATGATAAATCAACAGGACCTCTCTTAAATAAAAGAATAAAATGTGATTCCTCTTATCTTAGTTATAAGGTCTCCTCCTTCCCTCTCCATCTTCTGGTGCAATCTCTGGCCTACAAGAACTGCCTATCATACTGAAGGTGGTTCATCATATCTCTGCTTATGGCAACCACATCACTAGTTAAGCAAGAAGCTTCAGCGCACTCCTCTTCCTTGCTCTCCCAGCATCCAAGCAGCCTAACTCCTGTGAATGCTCCTGGATCCCTTCTACCCACCCCAACTGCCTCTGCCCAGCTTAGGCCCCAGCCCAGGCCCCAGCCCTGAGGCTAGACCCCTGCCACAACCTCTGCAGGCTCTTACTACCCCTTGTCTTACCTTCTCCCTCTCGTGGAATTTTTTATTGTTTTGTTTTGTTTTCTTAATAGGCTTTATTTTTTAGAGCAGTTTTAGGTTCGCAGCAAAATTGAGCAGAAATATAGTGTTCCCATATATCCCCTGTCTTCACACAGGCACAGCCTCCCCCACTACCAACATCCTCCACCAGCATGGGATATTTGTTACAGTTGATGCACCTGCATTGACACATCACCATCACCAGTCCATAGTTGACATTAGGGCTCACTCTTGGTATTACACAAAAGCATGGCAGTTGGGCACCATGGCTCACGTCTATAATCCCAGCAATTTGGGAGGCCAAGGTGGGCAGATCGCTCGAGCTCTGGAGTTCGAGACAAGCCTGGGCAACAGGGTGAAACCCTGTCTCTACCAAAAATACAAAAAAAAAATTAGCCAGGTGTGGTGATGCATGCCTGTGGTCCCAGCTACTCAGGAGGCTGAGGTGGGAGGACCTCTTGAACCCAGGAGGTGGAGGTTGCAGTGGGCTGAGATCGCACCATGGCACTCCAGCCTGGGCGACAGTGCGAGCTTTTGTCTCAAAAATAAATAAATAAATAAAAATAAAAATAAAAGCATGGCACCTACATCTGCTTCTGATAAGGACCTCAGGAAGCTTCCACTCATGGCAGAAGGTGAAGGGGAGCTGATATATGCAGATCACATGGTGAGACAGGAGGCAAGAAAAAGAGGAGGTGCCAGGCTCTTTGCAACAATCTTCTCATGGGAACTAAGAGTGAAAACTCCCTCATTACCACCATTCATGAGGGATCCACCTCCATGACTCAAACACCTCCCACAAGGCCCCACCTCCAACACTGGGGATCAAATTTCAACATGAGACTTGGTGGGGCCAAACAAACCACATACAAACCCTAGCACTACCATTGCAATATCAGCAATATCACACGGAACAGTTTCACTGCCCTAAAAATCTGCTTTGCTCTGCCTGTTCATCTGCCCAACCCCTGGCAACCACTGATCTTTATACTGTCTCTATAGTTTTGCCTTTCCCAGAATGTCATGTAGTTAGAATCATAGAACATGTAATCGAATTTTCAGATTGGTTTCTTTTCTTTAGTAATATGCATTGAAGTTTAATTCCATGTCTTTCTATGGCTTGATAGCTCATTTTGTTTTAGGGTTGAATAATATTCCATTATCTGGATGTACCATGGTTCATTTATTCACTCATCAGGACATCTTGGTTGCTTCCAAGTTGGAGCAACTATGAATAAAACTGCTATAAACATGTGAGTGCAGGTTTTGTGTGGATCTAAGTTTTCAGCTCCTTTGGGTAAACACCAGGGAGTGTGATTATTGAATAGTATGTTAAGAGTAGGTCTGGTTTTGTAAGAAACTGTCAAACTGTCTTCCAAAGTAGCTGCATCGCTTTGCATTTCCACCAGCAATGAGTGAGAGTTCTGTTGCTTCACATCCTCACTAGCATTTGGTGTTGTCCGTGTTCCAGATTTTGGCCATTCTAATAGGTGTATAGTGGCATCTCACTGCTGTTTTAAGTTGCATTTCCCTAATGACGTATGATGTTTCACATGCTTACTTGCCATCTGTATATCTTCTTCAGTAGATGTCCATTCAAGTCTTTTGTCAGAATGGGTTTTTAAAATATAAAAAACAAAAATAGCTTTATTGGTTTTTATTTTTATCACAACAGTGATACATATTACTTTCTTAAAGTCACGTAAAAAAAAAAAGAAAGTTATAAAAAAAGGCTGAAAAATCCCTCTTGATTTTTCCATATCCTGTTGCAAAGTGATTTTTTTTTCTTTTTTTTTTTAGATGGAGTCTCACTCTGTCACCCAGGCTGGAGTGCAGTGGCACCATCTCGGCTTACTGCAAGCTCCACCTCCTGGGTTCACGCCGTTCTTTTTTTTTTTTTTTTTTGGACGC